ACTGCTTCCGCAGCAAACACCGGGGAAAAAAAATAATAAAAAAAAAAAAAAAAAAAAAGCCAGCCCCGACATGTGGATGGTCCATGTAAAATGAATGGAAATGTACTAGTGAATGCGGTACACCAGACGTGCTCCCGTAATTCCCAAAAAAACCACGGCCACGCTGCTGAGCTGCTGCTGCTCGGTGGGAAAAGGTGCTGGTGGGAATGAAGGGTAAATCCCAGAGTATCCACGCCGGGCTGGATCGGAGGGCTCCAGCCCAGCGCAAGTGCTGCTACATTCCAACACCAGCACCGCATATTAGGCTGGAAAGCAGCAGATAAACAAAGGCTATAGAAGGTACTAGAGAAGGGCCGGTATCAGCTGTTATTTACCAAATAAACCTCCCATCCGCACGGAGATGGCCTTATTTTATTATTATTTTTACGCACACACATCCCCCATTCCCCCCCCCCCCCCTTCCCCCACGTATTGACTCAGCTCCTGCCGAATGGGAAGAGCATCATTTAACCGAGCTCTGTTATCACCGCGCTGCCAAAAAACAGCGGCAACGGCTGCTGCCACCCCCAGCGCCCCTTCCCGGGGGCGATACGGCCCGGCCTATCGGCCCCGCTCAACTGGTGTGGGCAAAACCCCATCCTTGGCACTTCCCCTGGCACCCCGCGGCCGGGAGCTGGCTGGAGCGAATCCTCCTGTTCCCCCTTTTCCCTCGCCCCGAGGCTTCCCGGAGCCCAGGGGAGCCGAGGAGGTGCCCGGTGGTGCCAGCGCAGGTGCGGGGAGGGGGATGGAGAGCGCTGCTGCTGCAGAGGGAGAGGGGGATGCGCTGGCAGGGGCATGGGAAGGGCCGGCTTCACCTGCTCCAGGCACGGAGGGAGGGGATGGGCAAGGAAAACCGCATCTCCGCCGCTCGGAGAGCGTGGGATCTGCTTACCTGCGGACCGGAGGGGAGGGGGAGAGGGGACTGCGGCTCGGGGGCAGCGGCTCAGCCAAGTCTCCGCGGGCGCGGGCGGGGAAGGGGCGATGGGCGAGGGGCCGGAGCGCGGAGGAAGCCCCGCGGAGCCCGGGACACGCTGCGACACTGCGGGCGGCAGGGCCGGCCGGGCCACGCGGTGCGGCGGGGACAGCGGGCACCGAGGGGACACCGCGGCGACACCACGGGGCAAGGACGGGGGGTCTGCCAGTCCCACCTGCCTCCCTCCCTTCCTCCCGTCTCCTCTCCCTCACTCACCCTCTGCATGGCTTTCAGGATCAAAGCCAGTTCATAGCGGGGCATCTTAGAGCTGGCAGTGGCGGGAGGAGCAGGGCACGGGGTGGGGAGGAGGGGGCTGCGGCGAGGCCGGAGAGGAGGAGCAGGGGGGACAGGAGGAGGAGGAGGTGGAGGAAGACGCGTCCCGGCGCTGTGGCGGCTCCTTCCCGCGCGACTCCCGCGGCTCAGACGCCCGTACGGGCAGGGGCGGCGCGGCTTAAAGGGCGCAGGAGCTGCGCACGCTCGACCGGGCCGGCCCTGCCCGCGCCAAGCGCCGCCCCTGCCGGGCCGGGGCTGCCCCGCACCGCGGCCTGAGGGCCGGGACCCCCGCGCGGGCACGGCCGCACCCCGCTCGTGTGGGACACCCTGCTCATGTGGGACACCCGGGGCATGTTAGTGGGACACCCCGGGGCGTGTGGGACACCCCGCTCGTGTGGGACACCCGGGGCGTGTGGGACACCCGGGGCGTGTGGGACACCCTGCTCATGTGGGACACCCCGCTCGTGTGGGACACACTGCTCGTGTGGGACACCCCACTCGTGTGGGACACACTGCTTGTGTGGGACACCCCGGGCGTGTTGGACACCCTGCTCGTGTGGGACACCGGGCGTGTGACCGGGACAACCCGCTCGTGTGGGACAACCCGCTCGTGTGGGACAGCCCGCTCGTGTGGGACATCCTGGGTGTGTGGGACACCCTGCTCGTGTGGGACACCGGGCGTGTGACCGGGACAACCCGCTCGGGTGGGACAACCCGCTCGTGTGGGACAGCCTGGGTGTGTGGGACACCTCGGGCATGTCACTGGGACACCCACTCGTGTGGGATGCCCCGTGTGTGTGTGTGTGACACCCTGCTCATGTCACCGGGCCTCTGAAATGCTCGGGTGGGACGGGACTTACAGAATCGTCCTGCTCCACCCGCTGCCGTGGGCACAGACACCTTCCATCGTGCCAGATTGCTTTGAACCTGGCCATCCTGGCACCTTCCAGAACCTTCCTCATCCTCAGGGCATCTCTGCGCCCACAGGACGTTCCCGTTCTCAGAGCTCCTCAGTGCACAGCCAGGACCTTCTCCATTTGCAGAGTCCTTCAGGGCACTCCCAGAACTTCCCCATCCTCAGAACTGCCCAATGCACCCCAGGTCCTTCCCCATCCTCAGGGCACCCTCAGAACTTCTCCATCCTCAGAACTCCCCAGTGCACAGTCAGGACATTCCCCATTCTGAAAGCACCCCGAGGTCCTTTCCCATCCTCAGAGCACCTCTGGGCACCCCCAGGTCCTTCCCCACCCTCAGAGCACCCGCAGTCACAGCCATGGGGTGAGCACCTGGTGGATGTGGAGGCCCGAGGAGCAGCAGGATGGAGGTAAAGCTGCGTGTCTGGCCTTGCTGCCCGAGTCCTCCCAGCGAGGGAGGCTCTGGACACGCATTTCCCAGCCTGGCACGCGCCCCTGGCGTGGTGCTCACGTGCGGCCGCCAAGGTCAGTGACACAGATCCCTCCAGCTGCAGCACATCCGACACCAGCGTCCAGCCGGGCTGTGCTGGAAGCTGAACCACTTGCTCCCACTAAAAAGGTGTTGGAGGGGCCTGGGTGTTTGTTTGAGCGCTCTTTGTCTTGTCCACAGCAGACTTGTCCCTCACACTGATGCCCAACAAGCTGGCTTTGGGGAGAGACAAGTTTCTGTCCAAGGTGTTGAAGCCCTCATTGCTCTATTCTGTCCTCAGGAGAGAGGGATGAGAGAGCAGCCCCACCGTGCCCAAGGGGAAGCAGAGAAAGTGGCAGATCTCAAAATTAAACAACTTTAATGAAATATCACTGGAATTCCAGCCCCAGCCCACCCAGAGAGGCCTCAACACCTCCCCTGGGTGCCCCAGCCATGCCCTTTCCATAGCCAGGGTCATTTGCTTCTGCTCTGCCTGCACAGGGAGGCTGCCACAGTCAGTGCCACCGATCCTGAGGGCAGGAATGGAAGTGGAAAACTCCTCCCAGCGCTTTTCAGCAGGACTTGCAGCTCAGCCAGCCCCGGTACTGCTGTGGGCCTTCCTCATCTCAGGCAGGTGTGAGCTCCCCGTGGTTCCCAACTCATCCTGTGCCCTCCAGGCACGAGGGCTGTGCGAGTCCTGGGAGCTGTTTTGGGTACTGCTACAAGACAAATTGCCTGTGCAGAAGTGTTTACAGGTATTCCCAAGCTCCCAGCCCTCCGTGCTCAGGCAGTAATTGCCAGGCAGCTGACAGGGAGAATTTACTGCCTGTTGGTGTTCACAATGCAAACTCTCCCTGGGTTTGCTTCCCTTTCCTTTGCTTCCCTGTTTGTTTTCTAATACAGTGTTGTCTGGCCTGAGCTTCTTCCTTATTCTGAACATGTGCCTGGCAAGCTCAGGAGGAAATCCAGGTGAGGTGGGAATGCCCAGGTATCCCTGCCATTCCCACATCAGCCATTCCCACCCTCCAGGTGCTCCTTGTGCAGGTGACCCATGACGTTCTCTTTGTCACATTTGGAGCTGTCACATTATGGCCAGGGGCAGAAAGGAGTGGGGAGAGCTCTAATTCCCAGTTCTACCAATGCTCTACCTCCTTCAAACATTCCTCTGGCAGAAGAAAAGGAAATTTTCAATGCCTGTCCCTGTAGCTGCTTTCAAATGCCAATATTGGACTCCCGGTAGGATATAAATTTACAGTCTCTGTTCGTTCTCACTTCTGACTCCATTCCACATGGAATCTCCCTAAATACACATCTCCATGTGGACAACTCCTCCCCTTTTTGGGAATCCCCCCCTCCAGCTGTATTTAAAGCTGTCTCAAGACTCCCCAAACATCAGCCTGAGCCTGAGTTCATTTTGTCCATGATGGGATTTGCTCCCAGCAGAAACATTTGACCCTGAGACCTCATAAATCCATTCCCAGGTGGATGTTTGATATCCCTGGGATGAGATCTGAGGGCCTGAGGGTCTCTCGTGCACATCAGAAACACAGGTAGTGACTACACGTGTCTGTCACACGTGTGTGGGCATGTCATGGAGCATCCCAGAATCCCAGAGTCATCAGGAATGTGGGAAGAGCCCTTCAGGACCATCCAGTGCCACCAGCATCACCCCAAAGCCTGTCCCCAAGGCCACATCCAGACTCCTCTGGGACAATCCCAGTGACTCCAAACCTCCCTGGGCAGCTCAGCCCAAGGCCTGACCACTCTGCCAGGGAAATTTTCTTTCCCAGTCTCCAACCTGAGCCTCCCCTGGTGCCATTTGAGGCCATTTCCTCTCCTCCTTTCCCTGCCCCTCCTGTCAGGAGCTGTGCAGAGCAGTGAGGTCCCCCCTGAGCCTCCTTTTCTCCAGGCTGAGTCCCTTTCCCAGCTCCTTCAGGAGTTTTCCAGCCCCTTCCCAGCTCTGTTCCCTTCCCTGGACACGCTCCAGCCCTACCAGCCCTGCCCTCTCCTGCCCTATCCATCCCTTTATGGAAGATCAGGATGATCCCCAGATATTTAGCACCAATCTAAGGTGTCCACCATGTCCGAGCTCCCTTGAATCTCACAGGTTTGATTTTTCCTCCAAAAGCATCCAAAGACTGTAGGAAATGTAATATTTAGTATTTAAAAGCACAGTGTTAGAGAGGATGGTTTGAACAATGAGTGGTGACCATGCCCTGAATAATCAGGAAATAAAAATTCTCCTAATAGAGATTTTATTTACTTTATTTAAGTAATAAGTGTCATGCAAAATGTCCTGACTTTTTCATGCTGCAATTTGGGCAAACCACCCCCTCTGCATCCTGATGTCTATCCCATCCATCCCTATCCCAAAGAGCAGCACAGAGAGCATGGATGAATAATTCCACCCTTAATACATCACCCTTTGTAATAAAGCACAGATAAAAATATGTCCTCCTGCATTCCATATACATAATGCCAAGGTTTTCTTTGGGAAAGGTGTTGGGAATGTTTGAGGCTTGTAGCAAAGTGGAGCTCTTCTTCCAGGGAACAAGAACAGGACAAGGGGAAATGTCCTCAGGCTGTGCCAGGGGAGGCTCAGGTTGGACACCAGGAGCAATTTCCTCATGGAAAGGGTGCTCAGGCCTTAGAAGGGGGTCACAGCTTGGACTCGATCATCTGGGAGGGCTTTTCCAACCTCAGTAATTCTGGGATTCCATGAAAAAATGTCCTGCAATATCTCAGAGGCTCCTGACAAAGAAGCTGGCCCAGCATAGCAGTTAAGGGTGAAAATGAAAGAAAAATTGGCACTTTTAGAAGCTCAGAATCACCATTCAGAACTTCTCTAACCACAGCTATTTTTGGTTTTAGCAGTCTCCTGACTAGGCTGTACAAAACCTCATTTTGCACCAGGTCCTCTGTGCACCGCAGAAAGCCAATTCTCTGATTAAAAACTTTAATTTCCACCTATGGCATATTGCTCAATATCAAAATAAAATCAAAATTTATCACAGGTTTAGGACTGGGATGTTGGTTACCTCCAGCGCCAGGTCAGGAGAGATATTTGGAGGTGCTGGTAGGAAACAGGAATTGCCTGTGGAAAGAGGAGCTATGGGCAGGGGTGCAGGACTGGTGCAGGCCTGTTCTCACTGCTGTTTCCTCACTTCTCCAGGAGGTTTGTCCATAAACACCACACATTTCAGGTGGCTTTCGGATTTAGGACTAGGGTCTAATGAGAGGATGTAAAAGGAAAAGGAAGGAGAATAAATGGGAAAAGACTGGGATGAAGAAAGGCTTGATTTGAGGAAAATTAGGACGGGGAAAGATGGGGTAGTAGGAAGATGAATGAGCTGAAAGAGAACAGAAGAATCATGGATTTGTGTGTCCAGAGGAGGCTCCAGGATGAGCAGAGGGATGGAGCAGCTCTGCTGGCAGGAAAGGCTGATCTGGGATCTCTTCTCTCATCACCTCCCTTTGGTCACCCCAAAGCTTCTCCTCTCCAGGTGGATAATCCCAGCTCTCCCAGCTTTTCCTCCATCCCTCTGCTCACCCTGGTGCCTCCTCTGGAATTGCTCCAGCAGCTCCGTGTCCATCTGCCACAGTGTTGCTTGCACACGATGGAAGGAGTTCAGATTCTTTTTGCTGTTTACTTTTAAAAAGCTGCATAATTGCACACATCCAATCTGCTTTAAATGAGGACTAGGTTGCAAAATCAATACCACATAATGAGGAGCGTTATTTCTCCTTCCTCTCCTTTGCATCTGCATATGCAAAGTAGATAATTGCCCACTTTTCTTTACCATGGGCTCTGTGCCACATTTATTTTTCAGGGTGGAGCCACTCTGGAGCTGTGTCAGGATGACATAGTGGAGGAGGCTGCTGTCTCCAGAAGTTTTTCCACATTTGTTTCAGCAGACAGAAGATGA